CAACCCAAACCCTTCTATGGATCTAAGTACCCCTTCTAGCACAAAGGAGGTATTTCTGCTAAGCTCTACACTGCCCAGCCATTCCTCACAGGCTTGAAGCCAGAGAACTTACCTTCTAGGTATCTGTGAACAATGTTAGCTAAAGCAAATCTTCCAAAACAGAAATTAAACTAATTTCACTTGTGTTCTGGAACTAGAGTCATTGTCGTCTAGCACGGTATGACTCAGACCCGGGGGAAAGACCTCATTTGCAGCTGGGGACGGGATGGATAAAGTTAGGCCTTATTAGGGGGTTACACCAGCTCCCTGTCTCTAGCATAACCCTGCAGACAAACTCCAATAACGTGAGATGGTTGTTGCAGGCTGAGGTTGCTTCTGTAGCTTCATAGCATGAGACAGTATTTTTCATTGCCAGCTGGGACTTTGTAGTTTGGATTAGTTTCCATCTTAAAATGCTTACTTTCATCCTTAAAAAGAACAGTTGCGTTCTAAATGCCAAAGAACTTATGCTAATAAGGTCTAATAGAGGGTGTCCCTGCCCATGGCAGGGGGGTTGGAACTAGATGGTCTTTAAGGTCCCTCCCAACCCACACCATTCCGTGATTCTATGATTCCAATTGCTCAACCACCAGAAGTAACGTGTGCAACATAAAGATGTCTGACCAAAGTAGCTCCATTTGATGCTTTGCTTGGTTTTCCAAATCTCTTACTCCATGCTCACTCTGTGTAAGCATAGCTGTATCACCATCCATTCTAAGGGATTTTTCTCTCCAAACCCAGGTATCTAGAACCTGGGAACCTTATGGCAATGCTCTCAGGTGTCTATGAAGCAACCATCAGAGCACGGGTGCAGCACTGTGAGTCTATTTACTAAGTCCAACTTCCACAGTTGCAGGTTGAGACTAAAGGAATGAGCTGTTGCAACCCTGGGCAGCAGATTTCCCTGCAAACCTATCAGGCTGCCATCAGGCTTCCCAGGGGAGCCGAGATGTTTCCTCTGTTTCGAGCAAATGTTGTAACTGGCTGCACATGCCACGTAACCTCTGCTCACGGAAAACTGAGGAGAGAGAAATGTGCAGAGGAACGTTCCTTCTCCATCAGGGAATATGAACTGCTTCCTAACCAAATGCAGTGTTACCAGTAGCCTGCGCTGAAGATGAGAACTCTGCATGAAGGCCAAGCTCAGCATCACGGAGAAGATGCTTCTAGTCTTCGGCAAGCAGGACTCCAACATTTTGTTATTTATTTTGGCTGATGCAGAGAATTCTGGTTGTACGAGTCACGTTCTCACTTCCCTTTTTCTTTTTTTTTTTTTTCCTCTGGATAAAAAAGTGACGGCTTCAGTTTTCACTCAGAAGGAACTGAGTAAGTGAGAAGGCAGGAAATGGAGGGAAGGTGCGACTGGTTCAGGAAATGGCCTTCTAGGACCAGAGGAGCAGGGTCTGTGGCGGAGCGCTCCTGCACACAAAGCCCGTCGCTGAAAGGGCCTGAAGAGGGCCCGTACTAAGGGCAGTCTGAGGGCTCCAGTCCTAAGGGGTCCCAGAGACCTCTGATAACAGACTGCATCACTGTTTGATAAGCGCAGGACACGGGACTTCTCTTGCAGCCTTAAGAGAAGTCAGGCCAAGACCAAAGCTCTCAAAAGCAATTCACAGAATCATGGAATGATTTGGGTTGGAAGGGATCTTAAAGACCATCTAGTTCCAACCCCCCTGCCATGGGCAGGGACACCTTCCACTAGACCAGGTTGCTCAAAGCCTCATCCAGCCTGGCCTTGAACACTCCCAGGGATGGAGGGCACTAGGCACAATTATCTATAGCTGGAGAACCAAGGTGTGTTCCCTGTTTACTCAAGCTGGGGGTGGACAAAGGCAAGAACCTTCTGGAATTGTGATCTAGAGCAAGAACAACTGAGCAGAAGCACTGGGACCAGAAGAAGATGACAGGTGTATGAAGCTGACAAAGCCTGGCTCTACAAATAAGACTGACCAGCTGGGATGTGGGTTTCTGGTTAAATATCTGGCAACCAACCCTGTGTGACTGTCTGGGAGGGGACAGAGGGGACAAAGTCAACCCAAATCCACAAAAGTCTCAGCTTCCTGCAAGCCGTGCCAGAAGTTCAGTGAATCAGGATTTGCATGCCACATGCTAAGGAAATACGCTGCTGCCTTACCTTGGAAGAACAAGCCGCTTGGTAACTTCGTTGCTTCAGGCGATACTGCCAACCATACAACAGTGTCAGCTCCCTGCGCCTCTGTGCGCAGGGTATTCTTCATCTTCTGGTAGAAATCCGGCATTGAGGATCTCACAGCTGTGAAGAGTAACAATGGAATGGTGGTCTGCTGGGCAAAGCTGTTTTGATTAAAAAAACCCAAAAAACAACAAACCAAACCAAAAGAAAAAAGAGCAGCTTGAAATTGCCGTTGTGAGCGTAGGAAGGAGACAAGGCATCTCAGAGTTTATGAAAGAACGAGTATTTCCCCATAGAGGGAGATCGATGACTTGTGGTGGAATAGTGCTAAGCTGCCAGATGATCCACCAGTTGCTTGTTTGGGTCAAATTACAGGGACAGAACGAGCAGGAGCAGAGAACAGGACCCGTGAGAGGTTCCTGAGCCAATTCCATTCTAACCTGCACAGAAGTATGACATCAGGATACAGAAATACCAAACCCCAGGTATTCTAATAGGATTTTTAGCACTTATTTTCTCACCAGGTTTAGGAAACCAGTTGCAGCATTGTATTTAAAAACTGCACGGTGAACAGTACCTAAACCAACCACAAAATTCATGTTTAAACTCTGCTTTCTTTTTATTTTGTCCAGCAGGTGATGGCTGAAGGCCCATCTCCTGCAGGTGTTTATTTCTGGGGGTTGGAGAGTCCTTGAACTTTAAGGTGGGATAATTTTACGGTTCATTGGGTTTGAAATCCAGAAAGGATGTATTTAAAGAAAAGGAAATACTAGGATATTTAGTCGGAAGGGGTAGTTTTCAAGCATAAAATAGACTTGCTTCCCATAGATTTGCTTCCCATAAAATAGATTTGCTTCCCATCAGAAGCAAATTTGGGAAACTGTGTCCCTAGAAAAGACCCTGAGATGGGGTTGCTAGTCTGCATCCCAAGCTTGGGTGTTCGGGGCGGTAAACGCTGCAGAATGCAACACGCACGCTGGGTAACTGATGCTGGCCCGCCGCAGGCAGCGAAGAACAGCTGCAGCTCAGACAAAGGGCCCTCTGGTCAAACACGCTGCTTCCAGACGGCAGTAAATGCTCAGAGGGAGCGCAGAGGAACTGGGCTTGCACAATGGTGCGCGCTCCTTCTTCAGATATGCCCTCGCAAATTCCCAGCGCCTGCATGTCGGTATTTCCAGAGGCAGAAGCTCTATCTGTGTGTTTCACAGTGCCACGACAAATGGAACGTAAAGGTTACCTGAGTGCAGGAGGGTTCTGCTGGGCCTCTGCGCGGGGCTGGAACCGTGCATTGCCCGTTACTACTCTCTGGCTACACACCGACTGCAGCCACTGTGCAGAACACAGCTACCAAAGGGGTACAAAACTATTTCAAGCACCAGTTTGGAGCTAAGAAATCACTGCAGCTCTTGGAGAAGTCTAGCAGAAACTCTCTCTTTGCTTTTAGACTAATCCTGAAAAGAAAAATATTCAGTGTCAAGCAGATGTTACCTGGAGTGTCTGCCCAGCCAGGGTGCATCACAGAGAAATGGATGTTCCTGTGAGCTTTTGCCCATTGTTCTGTCAAGACAACTTGCTGTCTCTAGGATAGAGCAAAAAGAGCCAGACTAGTATCACGTTCAATAGCCTGTCTGCCGAGTTACGTCCCAGGGAGATAAAGGGCATCACGTGTGCTGTAAATACCAGGGCATTTAGGTACAGCAGAAATACCATAGAACCACGTGGTTCTAAGCAATGGTTTGGGTTGGAAGGGACCTTTAAGACCATCTAGCTCCGACCCCCCTGCCATGGGCAGGGACACCTTCCACTAGACCAGGTTGCTCAAAGCCTCATCCAGCCTGGCCTTGAACACTCCCAGGGATGGGGCATCCACAACATCTCTGGGCAAACCTGTTCCAGTGTCTCACCACCCTCTCCACGGGGAATTTTTCCTGATATCCAATCTAAACCTCCCCACTTTCAGTTTAAGCCCGTTACCCCTTGTCCTGTCACTATGGGACCTTGTAAAAAGTCCCCCCCAGCTTCCTTGTAGCCCCTTCAGGCACTGGAAGGTGCTATAAGGTCTCCCCGGAGCCTTCTCTTCTCCAGGCTGAACAAGCCCAACTCTCTCAGCCTCCCTGCAAAAACAAAGTGCCCCTTCTCATGACACCAGACCAAACTGAACTGAAACCAGTGCTGGTCACCATTAACCCACTGCCTTTTGAAATGAGTTAAACATACCCTTACCCATCCTGGTTGGACTTGGTAGATAAGTCTGCCAGAGACCACCATGGTCACTGCAATCCATACCCTGGCCACAGCTTACTATGAAAGTGGTGACGCTGCTTTTACCGGCCACGCTGACTTGCTGCGGATTGGATGTAAGAACTAAGCAGGCAGAAGGGGTCTGTCAGCTACAGACAGTTTTCCCAGCTGAGACTTAAATCAAATGAAATGGAATTGTAGCCATGCCCTCTGCACAAGACGCTACGCACTCGTAAGCACATGCCACTGCGCTCCTGAAGGTTATAGCTCCGTATGGGGCAAATGGGAAAGCAACAGCAAACAAGAGGCTTTTTGCAAAGCAGATGGTTTAGATGGTTAGCAAACAAGGGCTGGGCTTCGTTTCCAGAACAATGTACCTTGTTTTGTGCGTACACCATCGTTCCATCAAATGTCCCGTTTCCCGACTGCAAGTCAGAGATGTTTAATTTTTGAACGAGCATGCCCCCAGATGAGACAGTTATCTGGAATCAAATGAACAAAAAACAAGTGAATGAAAAGCAAACGAATGAAAATTAACCCCAGGAACTCCCACAATCCCACTGGTGCGTGCAGTGCGGTCTTCAGGCTATAGTTTCGAGTCCCTAGGAGCGGGATTCCTCTGCGTGCTCTTTGCACTACAGCTGCGCTCACGTGTGGAGCGTACCTGGAGGTGAGTTGGAAGAAACAGATTTTTATTTAGAAAGTGATTTTCATTCAAAATGGTGTCGACTCCATCAGGGAACTCTGTGCTGCTTCCTTTTGAAAAGTAATTGGGAGGAAAAAAGAAACAGCAGAAGAGCACTCTTTGTAGTTTCTATGTTTAGAATTTAGAGAAGCTAATTAGAAAACGAGGCACTGTACAGAACTTGGGAAATTTCATTTAAAAAATGCACCCGCTGCCCTGTTTCACACCAAGACCCTGTAAGGTTCTTTTAAGCCTATACTCACAGGTATTTTGCACTGTGCTGCCCCAGAGAAGGAAAAAGGGGAGGTTTCCAAAGGAAGCATCCTACTCTGCTTTCCAATGAAGGGTTTAGAGTAGCAGGCAGGAGCTTTGCCTTGGAGAAGGAGGTTGCTTTCAGCAAAATCCAAGAGGATTGTAGAGATGCTTACAGCATTGTAACTAACCCCGCACTGCTAGCACAGTCCAAGAGATGCTGTCACAAATCAGAAGGTAAGAGTAGTGAACCACCACTTTTCAACAGCATCGCAGACTCACCACTCTGGCATCCGCTTCTTTTTCCAGGAGGGGCAGCAGGGCAGTTGTCAGAATGTATGTACCTACAAGACAGACAGACACCAACATTAACTTCTCTTTTGAAAAAAGCTTTCTTCTCTCTCCGTCCCCTGTAACACAATCTCCTTATTTCTGAAGCTTCACCTGAATTTAAAGATTTTCTTGCTTACCTGCAATACGCCTAGTCAACCTGTGGCGGTCTGCATTGCTGCATACGTCTTAAAAGGCACATCCCTTATTTTATAGACTCCTATGCTTATTGTACCTCTAGAGCAAGCCGATCACCACCTCCCAGCCAAGCCTGTGAAAGCAAAGAGGCTCAGGTATGCGTTTTCCTTGCGGCTGAGGTGATGCCAGTGAAGAAACAGGGAATGCATTTCCCCTCCGTGTGTAGCATATACACACGTTGGGTCATGAGCGAGAGAAGGAAACTGTGTTTCACCCTTGTGTTTCTTAGGCCCTTGCATATGCACTTAAGACTTACCCATTTTTTGCCTTCTCACTGTGAAATTCCTCGGAGCACCCCGACCCTCCTGATTTGTGCTGCACACAAAAACTGCCTCTTAAAATCACCAGCCATTACAGAAGATTAGGAACCCTTGGGGGACAGGGGAAATATTAATGTCGCATGCCCATGGCTTACGACACGTCACATGCCCATGGCTACAGTTACTTGGGGAAACTTAACTGTGTCCTTCCCCACTTCATTCATCTTCATTTAGCACAGATTTGTACACAGCACGCAAATCTATTCCATTACGGCTGTTGCCATGACCAGCAAAGTTTGTTACTCAAAACACTGTCCAACAGCTGCTGGGTTTGATTCAGACACACCTAGAGATGTTTCACAGAATCACAGAATGGTTTGGGTTGGAAGGGACCTTAAAGACCATCTAGTTCCAACCCC